AAGATTCCAGTAACGTCTTTTGTCCTAAAACTCCTAAATGTTCCAAACATTGTCAAATGTAACCTAGGGGTTATGAAGAATGCATTTCTTGCTGTGGAGAAAGTTGGCTGCTGACATGTTCTGTTTCCCTTGTACTGCCACAGACATGTTCATTGCCAAGTTGGCCCCAGGACTCACGTATGTCCTGTCTGCCTGTCTGTAGGCATGGGGAGGTGGCCTCCAGGGAGATTGGAATCTGATGACAAGGATTTGCCGATGTCTCATGGTGGAACTTCTCACATTTGTTCACTAGATGGCGCCAGTGCAATGCTGGACTTGGTAGCTGGGCAGGGGTGAGGAAGGTTCCGGCTTCACAGCAGAAGGATTTGTTGCTGTATTTTCTATGGAAGCTCTAGGCCATCCACTGTCCCAGGACAAGTACCCTGTGTTTGTCCCAGGTGAATCCATGGGGAAAGCTGTACAGAGTGAAAGAGTCACACGTCCATTCCTACGAGATCACCCCATATAGGTTTGAATTTCAGTACCTTCTCCCCACCCTTTTTTTTTTCTGTAAGACTGAGAGCGAATGGTACACTTACTTCCCACAAAGGAAGGCCCAGCACACTGTGGGCCCTTGACAAACATGAGTGGCCTTCAGGGTCAGCAGTATCCCACACTCACTACGGCAGAAGAATGTGAGGTCTTGGACCTCACCTTTCCCTTCTGATTGGTACAATCATGATGTCTCTGAAGTCCTCAACTGGAAGATCCTTGTATGCTAAACACTAAGGCATCAAGGTCCTGTTAAAAATTTTTAAACTTTGTACTTCATTTCATCTTTATAAAAGTCCAGTGTAATTCACATTTGACCCTACCCTCATCATACACTGAGGCACAGCCAGGTCAGAAGAGAAGGGACTCTAGTTTGCCCACCTACATCCTTAGTCTTCATAGCACCACATGTTAAACTCTATGGAATATGGTTCTTCTGTAGTTCTCATTGGTTTTCCAAAAGATAGACTGTAAAGTTTAAAATTATTTACCTAGGTAAGCTTAACGAGCTTTGACTGTTCGCAACCCGGAGTTAGAAGAGGGCTGAAAACCTTTCATGCTGCCGTAATCTGCTGCCCCTCTCAGTTTCTCCATGAAAGGGACAATTTTCCTATTGTTTTTGGAATTCAGAAGTCAGTGAATTTTCTGTAAAGGGCCAGAAAGTAAAGGTTTGTGGCAAGCTCTCAATTCTCTCACTGCAGCACAAAAACAGCTCTGTAGAAAATGAGAATAAGTGGCTGGATTGTGTACCAATAAAACTTTATTTTAAAATGGGCAATACATTGGATTTGGCCCCACAGGGAATATTTTACAAGCCCTGAGTAAATGCAACTTAAATTTCCATGAAAGTGGTGAGTACATCCCTGGGCCCACTAAATGTAGACCTTGGCTCCAGTGTGGTTCGCTGAATGGCCCCAGGTGAACAATACTCATTTTTTATAATAACGTGATTGACAGTAGAATATGTCAGAGCTGATAACTGTTCGTGAAACAAGGCGAAGCACAGGGGATCATCACTAGCTTCTCACCTCTGATCCAACCTGGAGAGATGGCAGGTGACCCACATGAGGATCACCATGTCTGCTCAGCTCTTAAAGTGAACAGAGCGAAACAAGAATCAACACTTTCTCACATTTCTTCCCATCATCCTGCTGCTCAGCGTTTGGTAGTGACCCAGGGCTCAAGCTTGATGCTACCCTTTCAGCACTAGGGCAAGAATCCTGGCCTCATGCATTTCTACTACACATTGAACTAGTATCCGGGCCCAGCAGTGGAGGCCAGTGGTGGTGTAAGAGCTGTCACCCCACAACAGAGGTCATAGACACTTTAGTAATACAAGTGCTCCTTAATTTGCAGTGGAGTTTTATCCTAATAAACCCATTCTAAGGGGAGAAAATGTTAAATCAAAAATGCATTTAATTCACATGTCCACTGACATGATTTCTCAATTTCAGAACTATGAAAAGTTGGTACATGTTATAGGAAACCATACTTCAAATTCTTAGTTTGGTTCCTACTCCAATAGTGTTGTACAGTACACCACTGTCTCAGACACCCCACAGAGTCGGTAAACTCCAGCTTCCCTCTACTCATCATGCAAGAATAATAGCTAGTACTTAACAGTGTACATTTTGCAAGAGCAAAATGTTTGGGTGGCTGGGGTACATAATGCATCTTAAGTGTTCAGTGCTTTCAACTTATGAAAGTTATCTTATCAAGACCCTATTTGTTCTCCTAACCTACACAACATCCTTATTCTGACTTGAACACACTTTGAATCCTCCTGCCAGCCCCTAGTTGGGCAACATCTTCTAACATGATAAAGTATTGGATGTCTCCTGTAGGGTTCTTGAGCACTGTACTGAAAGTGGAACAAAGAAACATCCTAAGGGCATCCACCATGAATGAGCAGCTGATGCACTTTACAGTGTCTACCAAGTGTATATCACTGTCCCGCTGGAAAGCTCAAACGCTTCAGTTCAAATCACTGTAGGGGACTATCTGTATATACCATTTAAACTTGTACAGTTGTAGAACATCAGAAACATCCAATGATTGCCACTTTTAAGTAGCTAGTAAATAGCCAAGTAAATGTACACACTTATTACAAGCAAAACTATAAAACCAGTGCAATGGTTTCAAATTAACCAACATTCACACACACACACACACATACACACACACACACACACACACACACACACACACACACACACACACACTGTGAAAGATAGAGCTGGCAGTGAGACAGGACCTCCCCAGCTGAGTCTGACGGTAGAAAGATGCCTGTGGCATGCTTTCCCATTCCATTGGCTGTTGAGGATGGTGAGTCAGCTCTAAATACATCCTCATCACTATTTTTAGTAATTTCTCTTTAATAAAGAACTATTTCGTCTACTTGTCTATAACTTTGGTGGATAAATCAATTCTAATGGTGCCTCACAGAATAACATGGTACTCAAAAAAGATACATTTCTGTCTATATTGTTATTTAGGATCTATTGCAGATTGGTACATATAAATAAAGCCCCCAGGATGCTGTTGGATCATAACGGGTACAAACTAAGTACTGCCACTTCTCTTGGAGTTGATGCTCTGGTCTGATCAGTTGTCACTATTTCTATAACATATTCTCCACAGCCTGGCCTGTATCCACACATGCAGAAGATACAAAGGGACTCACAGTGACATTGTTGTGGGATGATACTGGTCTGTGCTTCATATTAGGACAAAGGGAATGGGAATTTGTTAGATTCTCATTTAAACATGAGGATGCTCTCCCCCCAAAAAATAACAAACTGTAATTTGTCCCAGAAGCATGGATGAAGGTGGCTTTTCTATTTAACCAGCTTTCTTAATTAAATTTTGAAGCACATTTACTTTGTCTCCTTTTAAAAAAAAAAATGCTACTTTGCTCTCTTAGAAAAACAAGTTCACATTTGGATATTCCACCAGCCACGATGCATGTAAATGTCTTTTCTTCATTATCTTATTGATAACAGGATAGCATCCATGATGTTTTGGGGTACAGATGCATTATAGAGTGGTGAAAAGTGTCTTATTGGCAATTGTGTGACCTCACATGGTTATTGTGTGGCATGGCGGAAACATCCATTCTCTTTTATGTTTTCAAGATTGCATCACTATTAATTAGAAACCCATGAAGTCCATTGATCTCTTGAACCTCTGCCTCATATCTAACCAGAATTAGATCCTTTGACTGACATCTTACCACCAACACCCCAGACCCTGGTAACCAGCATTCTACTTCCCAGTTCTGTGAATCCACTCTTCTAGATGCTATAAACAATGAGGTCATAAGGCATGTCATTCTGTGCCAGGCTCATCTTAGTGAGCTAACCATCCCCAGGTCCAACCACAGAGTTACAGAAGATAGACTTTCACTCTTTCTAATTACTTTTATTTATTTTGGGCAGCATGCGTATGTCACAGTGCACATGTGGAGGTCAGGAGACAATTTGCAGGAGCTGGTTCTTTCCTTCCACCATGTGGGCCCAGGGGATTAAACTTAGGCCATCAACCTTGGTAGCAGGTGCCTTTACCCCACTGAGCCATCCCACGGACCCAGGCTTTCACCCTCGTATGGATGAACAGGATTCCATATGTACGTATGTATGTATGTATGTATGTATGTATGTATGTATGTATGTATGCATGTATGCATGTATGTACATTTGTATGTACATATATATGACATTTTCTCTATCCATTCATCCTTTGATGGACACTTCAAGTTCTTTTTGTTTCTTGGCCACGGTAAATAGTGCTGCAGAAAGCATGGGAGTGCAGTTGTTCCTTCTTCTAGAAACATACCCAGTAGTGAGGCTGCTGCATCTGTTAGTGTCTTTCTTAAATGTGATCTCACAAGCTCCACAGAGAAAAGATCGTACCTGAAAAAAAAATAGCTTCTTGGCTTTGTTTGGTTATGTGAAAGGGGGATCATACTTAATATGTAGAAATAAAAGTCATCTAGAATAAATAAAATAAGTCATCCAGAAAGCATATTTTTTTCCAAAATTCCACTGTGTCTATGACTATGTATTTGTCATTAGTGTCCTGGAAGTGAGCAAGTCTTCATTTAATACTATATGGTATTACTATGTCTCCTGTCCAAAATTAGCCACCTAGTGACAAAGGTAGGTGATGGTGACTGAAGGCAATATTAAGCAATCAGTTTTGCCTATGGGACACATAAGCAGTCTCCATGGGAGACATTTTGTCAAAGCCACATTATAAATCTAAGGTCAAAGGAGATATTTCTTATCCAGCAAACATGGCAATTTGATGGGCTGGGGAAGGGGTGGGGCTGGCAGGCACATCATCGCTAGAGAGGGCTGAGGTCCCCGTGCAGTGGCCTCTTCCCTGTGGCAGTTCTCTTGGCACCACATTCAGAGAGTAGTTGAGTGAAGCTGCTGGCCTGGCTTGGTTTTCTCATTTCCTACCTTTTTGTTTCAGCATCTGCTGGGGCTTTGTTGAGGAAGGATGACAAGGCCATTGAATCAACTTATGAAAAAATTGCAGCTGCTTCACAGCTTCCCTGAGGTGTGGACCTCTGCGTAGGTCAAGGGTCCGTTATGGAAGATGGCCGTACACAGATCTGGATGTTAAGGAGAAAATGACCCTGTGGGGAAGGAATTAAAAGAATGTCATCCTTGTTTGCCCTGGCTCATTTTTTTAATACATCAGTCACCTTGACATTTCTAAAAGAATTTTTTAAGAGCTTAAGTTTTAAAAGTATGCAGCTTGTCCAAATAAAATGTGCAGTCACCAGGTGGCCTGCTGAATTTTGACTGGACCATTCCTCTGCTGTGGGTGTGACTTATATCTGACTAAGCTGTGCCTTAGAAGAGCCACAGTGCTCTTCCCTGTGAGAAACTACTGTTTGTGAGGCCAGGAGAACCACCCTTGGCTAATTGGTGCTCCAATGATTGCTTAGTGACCTTAGATAAGACATTTTACTTAGCAATCTCAGGGTTCTTTAACGCCAAGACAATAAAAAGAGGTAACATGCTCCAATATCAGCAAAAGGTCTTCATTTGACAAATAGCCTCAGATGGGAAAAGCAACTGAACCCTTCCTGGACTCTCAGTCTGTGCTTGTGTGTAGAGTTCAATGCAATGCATATTTACCTGTTGTGGTATTCTATGCTGCTAAACTCTATCACAACCATCTATAATGGAATCTGATGCTTTCTTCTAGCATGCAGCTGTATATGTAGACAGAGTACTCATATACATAAAATAAATCTTTTAAATAATAATAAAAGTAATTAAAAAAACTTCAACAATGGGGCCTGGATGTGACTTCAGTGATAGTGTTTAATATATACAGGACTCTGGGTTCAGTCCCACTCACTCACTCACTCACTCAATCAATCAATCAATCGATGGCAGAGCACACATTATTTTGGATGAAGATGATTATCTACAGTATCACTACAGAACTACTGTCCAATCCTCAGAGTGAGACTTGAGAGATAGGATTTTTGCAGAGCTTAGACTTTGGAATGAGACTTCAAGCTCCAAATCCTGGGCTTATATCCACAAAACCAATGTCGGCTTTCATCTGGACCTACATTTAATAACTGTGCAGCCTTCGGGGAGTTCATGAGAGAGAGCTGTTAGGACTCTGCCTTCCTCCTCCTCAGTACTATGAAGAAGAAATTCCTTTCTTGCAGGGCAGCATGGAGGTTTCCGGACAGTGTGGTTACCACAGTCTAAGATGACAAGGGCATATCGAGTAGCTTTTGGACAGTCTCTGGTTTGTGACAGATTGCAGTACGTGCCCTCTGTCCTCATCCTTCTACATCCTCACTCCTGCCAAACAGAGGTGGTGTTTATGGCTTCTTGGTTGTTTATTTTTTTGCTTCTATGCTTGAGCTTGAACTTGCAACTTGGTTTGACCATTTAACTGAGCTTGTAGGAGGAGAGGGTAGTTTTCCAGCTGTGTGCCCAGGATTCCAGAATTCCTGCTTGTTTGCTCCTTTTCATTCATTCTTCTGCCAGTGACCTGAGAAGAGCTGCTGCTGGCCCAGAATGGTCCATGAGGAGACAAACCACACATTATCCACCACAGATGTACACTGAGAAGCAAAACTCAAGATAGCTCAGTAAACCTTGGCTACCTCTACTGTGTCCTGGAGGCCAAGCAAGTACATAAGCACTCATAATCGATGGCTGTATCAGGTCACTGAGATTAGGATGTTTTGTTACACAGCAATGGTGGAATGATACACTTGTAAATTTTGAGAGTAAAAGACATTGAAGAAGTGCAAGCTGGTGGGTGGGATCTGTGGGCAGGAAAGTGGAAATGGGACTCCAGAGTGTGTTCACAAAAAAACCTGTCAGTGTAGGAGGAAACCATGAAGGACTTTGACGACAATGCCAAGGATCCAGGCTCTGCCCATTTAACAAAGATTACCACTGAAGGTCCCTGCATGTCCAAGCAGGGATTCAAGGAGGTGACAGGCAACTTTCATACATAGGCCATACAGGGGACAATTGGGATACCTGGCATGCTGCTTCCCACCCCTTGTCACACACCCCTCTGACTGTCCTCATGGTCTGCCTCCTTTTCCCTGGTAATCTTTTCTTCATATTGTGGTATTTTTAGAGGTAAATTCACTGTTCTGAACCCTATCTAGACCCCAGATTGTGTTCCACGTAAAAAATGATAGATGCACTGCACAAGTGATGTGTGTTATGTCGCCATGAGTCTTGTGGCCTTGGTGGCTTCAGGAGAGAGGCTCTGAAGACTCAGAACTGACTTTGGAAGAGAAACTAGGATACTGGGGAGGAAGGCATAGGAATGGTAGGAGAAAGGCAAATCCATGTTGATGTTGGTGGGCGAGGCTTGACAGTGTTTACCACATTCAGACTTCTCTTGGGCTGGTCCTTCTGTGGCAGCTGTTTGTGTAAAGATAAGCCTAAGCATTTTATTGAATGAGGAATGTGGAAATCAGAAGCCAGATCAGGTCCTAGGAAGCCTGGGACTTAACAGATCAGCATTGTGTGGGCAGCCTTCAGTTCTCATGAGCCAGCCCTTCCTTAGAAACTGGCTAGGAGGGAGTCAGGAAACCAAAGTTGACGGCCCTTTGCACATGATTGTTCTGGTTAGGAAGACCTCGCAAGCCTGCTCTGTTTGAGGCCTAGCTTCACACCAACCAGCTGTGTGCTGGAGGGGAGAGGTTATCCCAACAATGTGCCTCAGTTTCCTCATCCCAAGGCAAGATAGGAATGTGTCTTTTTTCTGGCTTTCCGTAATCATGGTGTGTGTGTGTGTGTGTGTGTGTGTGTGTGTGTGTGTGTGTGTGTGTGTGTGTGTGTGTGTGTTATCAGTTTTCTAGAGCTGTCCTGATGAAGTGTCATAAGACGGGGCACTCAGAGCAATGGAAATTTGTCAATAATAGATCCTTCCTTTTAGTTGTCTTTTTTCAGGTATTTTCTCACATCAATGAGAAAATACAATGCCTTTGCCCATTCCCAGTTGCTGCAACAGAATACCTAAGGCTGGGCAACTTAAAGAGAAAAGAGGTTTTCTTACCTCATAGCTGTCGAGGTAGAGAAGTTCAAGAATAGGTGGCCTTACCTTATGGGTAAGGGCCACATGCTGTGTTACAAGGTAGTAGAAAAGCTAAAAAACAAGCAGGCCCATGTGAACGAGAAGCAGAGGTGAGTGTAAGAGTGAGGGGAAGGAGGAGGGCTGCCTTACCACAACCCACGCTTCAGCCTGCCTCTCAGAGTGCCCAACACTCTGCAGTGGAGATCCGCTCAATATGAGCTGAGTCAGGGCAAGCCATGTGTGACCAGCTGAGGTGAGGGGGATGTAGCTTACTCATTCTCTCACCTCCACAACCCACCAAGAATTTGCCTAGGAAGTTCTTTGATGGTAACTTAAATCTTATTTTCATGGTAACTATTATTTCGTTCCAGGTTCCCTGGAATTCAATTTTTTCTTCTCTGAGTCTCTTAAATTTCTTAACCAGGACATCTGACTACCTCAAGATCTCCTCGGAGGAGTTAAATAGGAGCCTAGGTCTTCAGATCCAACTCACCGCAAAATATCTACACAACATGATGAGACACTTAAGTATGAGTGTGGTGTAGGGAGGGGAGTGCCTCTTCATAAAGACAATAATGTAGTTATATTGGAATGGCTACTGGGCTGTTGTCAAAACTGATAGGAAGGTGAGCTTGGGAGGCATTGGTACACTGATACACGACCTCAAGTTTAAATGTGTAACAGCATTCCAAGAAGCCCTTGGTGGCCTACTATGTGTCAGTCACTCAGCTCACAGTAGTAAATCAGAATCAACTCTGATCTCCAGGAACTGTTCTAAAAATTCCATCACTGTAAAATACTGAGTCCTTCTCCACCTGAAGGACTCTGGGTTCTTTGTGGGCTCTCCACATGGAATTCTATGAACACATAGAAGCATGTGTGGTGGGATTTGGGAAATGCTGCTGGATCATGCACCTGCTCTAGGGGAAATGTATGAGGCACAATGTCCTAATCAAAGCTTCTCTTGTTCCACAGTTCAAGAACCTCACTCACCACTCACTACTTGGATCAGAGAAGGGAATAATAACAAAACACCCATTAACATCAGCTGGACTATGCCTGGTGGTGGTGGCACATGCCTTTAATCCTAGCACTCAGGAGGCAGAGGCAGATGGATCTCTGTGAGTTCGAAGCCAGGCTGGTCTACAAAGAGAGTTCTAGAACAGTCAGGGATACCGAGAAACCCTATCTCAAAAAACCAAAATAGAAAAAAAAAAAAGAGGTAAAAACATCAGGTGGAACATGGACTGGAGATGCTGCTCTTCATTCCTGAGCACACACTGAACGCCTTTCCCCTACCCTGAGTTCTCTGAGACAGCCTTCCCATATTTCTGCTCTGCCCCTCTGCTGCCATGAGTCCTGCGTTCACCAGCATGGTACTGAAGCTGCTCCTTCTCCTGGCCCAGGGCCGTTGCTCCAGCCCATCTCCACATGCTGCTGTCTTCCACCTGTCAGAGCCACTCTTACCTCCCTCCATGTCTGCAGCAGCTCAAGAACCCTCTATAGAAGTTGTGGTAGAGATATGTAAACCTGGCCCTGTCATCCCCTCAAGCCCCGGGATCACTTCCATCGAAGCTTGACCTTCTTTCCATCAGCAGTTGAGCCTATCAGCCACCCCAGTCAGGACTGAAAATGAGCAACTGTGGTGTTGAGGAGATCTGAAGAGCATTTTGAGGTCTACACTCTTCTGCTGCAAGGAGAGTGAGACTAAGGCTGTCTTCTGGAGGATGAGGGACACATGCCATTGTCCAGATGATGAATTAGCTCCCATCCTTGGTGGCCATCTGAGACAACTCAGCTCTTGCTGAGGCAATCTGGCCCAAAAGAACTACCCAGGGACACTGACAAATTGATCATGCTTTAAACCTCCATATTCGGTTTGGCTTCTTAGACTTGACTGACTACTTTGAGGGTTCTAGGGGGATGACTGTGTCCCTGAGGCCAGAGCTCACTGCCATGGTCTGCAGCTCCCTTAGGATGCAGCGTCCTGCCTCACCCAGGCAAGGATGTAAGCATTGACTGACAGACTTACCTGATGTTTCCACTGAGTTCAGGGGTCAGTTAGTAACTTAATTCCTCCAGGCTCAAGTCTAGACTCCCAAGAAAACTGGAACCAGAACCTGATGTTGAAAATAAGGCTGCTGCACCAAAGCCTCCTGGGAAAAGAGCCATCGTGTAAGATGCTTCGAAGCCACCAACACCAGGGCTAACGGAGGCTGCTTTGTTCCAACTCCAGAGATCCAGGGCTCTAACGGGCTGCAACCTTGACTCGGAGCCTGCTGAGAAGTGAGGCTGAAAGAAATGAAAGCATCCCAGTGCAGATGATGAGAGGTGGGGACGGCTCACAGTAAAATGGGGAAGCGGTCAAAGTTCCGAAGGACCTACAGCAAACTTACAAGGTTGACCGTGAGGAAGTTGAGACTGCATGGCCCCAGAAGATGCTAGGAGAGCAGTCATGTGCCACTCTGACATCCTCAGGTGCCATCCAGTGGTTCACCATAGAAGCCAGTGGCAATGTGAGACTCGGGGGTCTTCTTGAACATTCTGAATGAGGGTCTGTGAAGAAAGAACAGAGTTTCTCTAATGATTGTGTGCTCATTAGATACCAGCTACTGTGACAATGGCACACATAGCAGAAGTTAATGATTTCATTCACCTGAAGTCCAGAACGAGCCACGATGACAGGAGGCAGGGTGCACTTTTCTCTCTAGCTCAGCCAGCCCTGCCACCTTCAACACTTCGTGTCTGTCCACCCAACCAATAAAGAGAAAACAAAGGCTTTGTTTTAGGTGCATGGACAGCACAGCTAGGTAGCCCACATCTCACTGGTAGAAATTAATTGTGTGATGTGGTGATATTGTGGTCCCCAAAATATTGTGCATCCTAATAAACTTATCTGGGGTCAGAGAACAGAACAGCCACTAGATACGTAGGCCAGAAAATGATGGCACTCACACCTTTAATCCTATCATTCCAAAGGCAGAGATCCATATGGATCTCTGTGAGTTCAAAGCCATACTGGAAACAGCAAGACATGGTGACTCATGCCTTTAATCTGTCAGAAAGCAGAAAGGTATATAAGGCATGAGGACCAGGAACTAGAGCTGGTTAAGATTTTAGGCTTTGGGGCTGGAGAGATGGCTCAGAGGTTAAGAGCACTGACTGCTCTTCCAGAGGTCCTGAGTTCAATTCCCAGCAACCACATGGTGACTTACAACCATCTGTAATGAGAGCTGGCACCTTCTTCTGTATACATAATAAATAAATAAATCTTTAAAAAAAAATTTTAGGCTTTGGAGCAGCAGTTCAGCTGAGATTCATTCTAGATGAGGACTCAGAGGTTTCCAATCTGAGGAAACAGGATCAGCTGAGGAATTGGAGAGGTGAGGAAGCTGTAGCTTATTCTGCTTCTCAGATCTTCCAGCGTTGACCCCAGTACCTGGCTCCAGGTTTGTTTTCATTAATAAGATCTTTTAAGATTCATGCTACAGTGTGATTTAACTGCTGTGAAATATAGACAGCTTCTCACAGATTACTACGAACAAATGAGTCCCCCATTGTGATGGCATCATAGGACAGATGTTGTCACATTCAGCATGGAAGATTGAGTGGCGCTCCACCCATGAGGAGATTTAGTAGAAGAGCTTCCTTGAGTCAAAGCTAGACTGGACATTCCTCAGCCAACACCGAGAAGCAGATGGACTCCTTAGTAGCCACGTTAAGATACATTTGATGCTGTGCTACACTAAACTGGACATTTTTCACCTAATACCACAGAGCACTGCTTTATATGCCATTACAAAGCCCACACTAAGAACACATGGCCACCAAAGATAAATGAGAGGCTGTGGTCCCAATGGAAGCTTACATTCAAATTGACCAGATCTGGGACATTCACTGGAGGATGTGTGGACAGTGTTGTTCTGTGCTGTACTTACATGTACATTCACACACTTTTTACAGACTATAAGGCTATAAACAGTTAATGCTTATAGCATCATGCTAGCTGGCAAAACAGATGTGTGAAGAAGTCAAATCCCTTTGGACTCCAGTTGTCAGGAAAGTCTGAAAAGAAACAAATTAAGATAACAGGATTGCAAAGACTAGGTCCATTGTGGATGCTTTCAGTTGAAATCAGATTCCAGGAAACACTAGTGTTGCTGGAGGAGAGCTCATAGTAGCGGGATTTATGTGGGCATTACCCAAATATGGAGAACCTACTATGTGCAATTCTGAGTTGCAGAGAACCAGCAGTCCCCCAAACCTTGCTTGGTCAGGCTAGGAGGCTAGAAGGCAGTATCTAGTTAAGCAGGATCACCCACAGGGAAGACAGCTTCTGCCTGGGCTTAGACACTAGGGAACTACAGCAGGTTCTTGGGATTCTGAATGAAGGGATTATAGGAGAGGTATTGGTTCCTTTTGAGTTTAGGAAATGTGGGGCAGTATCAAATGCATCTTAACTCCAACATTAAGGAAGTGAGGAAAGGCGTCTTGAACCTTGAAAGGAACATTTCACTCCTGGGATGCCTTCATAAAAACACTTAGACAACCCACATCATACCACTCCACCCTGTCACCTCTAATACAAGAAGGGACTCCTGAATAAAGTGCAACCAAGTCAATAAAAGCCTTTCCTTTTGGCAAGGGCAGGCCCAGGTGTGGCATTCTGAAAGTCCCCAGCCAGGTCAGCTGGGAGGAAATCCACATGTTAGTGGAGAGGGGTCCGTGGGAGCTGGATGCTTCCTGCTGTGGAATCCACATCCTGCTGCCACAGTCTCTCCCCTCAGATGTGTTTGCCCACCTGAGCTGTCCAGGCCCCAAGTTCCCAGCTAGGCCAGAGGAGCTGTGGACAGCTGCACTCAAGGTGAAGCCAGGAAGCTCCTCACCACCCCTGGGGGCTTTGCATCACAAGGAGAGAGCTTTATTTCCCTGACTGGGGAGACCCTGTTTGTCAAAGACCCCAGGGAGCTGATGAGGTAATAATCTAGGGTCCTCAGGTCACTGGGTCATGCTCCCAGGCTGATGAAGGCCTGAGAATGGCCACAACCCCCCACCCCAATATTCCTTGACCCCATAGAGAGAAGCCAGGTGCTGTTGACCAAGAAACTCACTGATGTGTCATGCTGTGTCCTCTTTCCCCAGCTCCCTACTCTGAAGACAGATGTGTCCCTTATGCCAGGGATTATTTTCATGGGGAATAGAGTCCTTCCTCAGGAAGACCTCAGTGCAGCACACAGGACCACCACAGGACAGCAGGCTGCTGGCACACAGCAAAAACACAGGGCTCAACTCCTCCCTGATCAGAGGTGACAGAAACAGTGAGTTTGGTTTTTCAAAATCAGTTTAGAAATAGTGACTGGGAAGAGGCTTGGCACTCACCTGGATTACTAAATGCACAATGACAAGCATCAAAAGTGGCCAGCTGTATTTTATGCATTAAAATGGGAAAGTGACTGATGTCATACACAATGTGGAGTGCTAAGTGTAGTGAATGGGGAGCTTCATGCAGAATACAATTTAGCAGTGAAGAGAGAAGTCAGGTGTAGGTCTGCCACATGGTCTTAGTGAGAAGCTATGTTGCTCTTTGGAGATAACACTGCTCTGGCCTGTGCCTGTCCTGAGTGATCTAAGGTCTATAATATCAAGCATTGCTCTGGAGGGCACTGAGGAGTTGTCATGTGCGAGCTTAAGCCAGCTCCTGCTTAGAATCTGCAGTCAAGATGTGTAGAAATCTGTCAGGATACTCTCTTCTCAGTCAGCAGCCCCCATACCTGCACTGGTTTGTGGAAAGCAGGGACCACACTGGCTTCTTCCTTCCACACTGGTGTGCACACACCAAAAGCCCAATAAGCACAGGCCAAATAGAGGAATTAATGTTCCTCTTTTACTGAGAGCTGAATTTCAGTTTCCACACTCATAGGACAGAGTAGAATCCCAACACATTTTGAGCACCCTTTCACCGACCTTTTGCATACAGCTGTTCCTGAAGGGACAGTTAGGTTCATCCCCCAATTCTAGCTTGCTGGAGCTCTTCCTGGTGGTGCTTGGACATACCAAATTGTTTGCCTCTGGTTCCCAGAAGAAGTGTCAGGACTAGCTGTCTCAGCCCACTCATGCTGTATTCAGACCAGACACTGGACAGACAGTCCATTGGGCGTAGCATGTATCATTCTCTTAGTGTCCTGGCACTACTGTGCCTGGCAGAGGCTATTCCGGGGATTAGTGATGGACAGTCTTTAGAGTGCTGTCAGCGCTGGGATCATGACTTTGATGGACCTGATACCCAGCCAAAGAATCCCAGGGCATGATTCTGTCTAGCTCCAATGATATTTTGCGCTTGGCAATTTCAACTCTAGAAGATCATAAGTGATTTTGCCAGCTGTTTTTCTAGCAAGTTATGTTTTAATCATTTTTTTCTAGCAATTTTGGAAAACTCTGGCAATAGTAGGTATCAAGAAGCACCTGCATTTTGGTTATTCTGAGGTTCTGGAACGGATGAACAAACAGGTGTCTACTGAGACCACTGAGGCATCTAAAGGGGCTAATCGTAAAAGCCAGTGGTAAAAGCTGAAAAGAAGGGCAGAGTAGGGATCAGTAACCTGCCCCCCAGTTTCCACAGCCCCTCACAAATGAAGTCCTGGATCTGTCCAAACACATTTAATTAATATGAGTGGAAAGTGGGAACTAGCAGCCTTCTGACCAGGCCCCTTCCTTTCCGTCATAGGGGACAAATTTGGCAGTGGACCATTGAGATGCACCTCTGAGTTCCAGGCCCCATGTTGGAGTCAGAAAGATCCTCTCAAGACCCAGATTCTGTTACCTTTCAGGGTCACAGTCATGGAAGAAGGCAGAGGAAGTATTCCAAGAGAGAAGGGTTTATATGGCCACACCTTAAGTGCAAAGAGAAATTTGGAAGATGAGGCATATTTACCTTCAGCATCACTAAGACAGCCACACTGAGAGTTCTATAGAGTCCCAGCACAGTTCTGGATGCTAACGTTTTCAAATGTTCATGCACCTCATATCTACTGTGAGTTTCGAGACTTCATTGTTTATTGGATATTTCAGTCTTTGAGATTCAGTCATCCAGATCACAAATGATAAGGAATAAATACAAAGGTGGCCATTAATCATTGCTGATGGCTTTCCGGCGCCACCATGTAATTCTGAAGACTCCTGAAGGCCCCTTTCTGAACCCTCTTCGCAAATATCTGCCCTTTGTCAATCGCCTCCATTCACAGGAACAGTTGCTAAAATCCATTAAATGGGTCCCTAGCCAGACTTTAGAGATTAAAATGTGAGAATGGGTGTGAGAACATTCTCTGAAGAAACAGGATGGCGCAACATGCTTAAGGAATGGCTCTGACACCTGGCAACAGGTCACATGGTCTTTGCTCCCACACATGTTTCGCAGTGCTCTGTTGCACACCGACTTTTCTTTCTTTCTTTTTCTTTTTTGAAAAGTCATTCATTTCAAAGAATAATAAGATTAGCCCTGGCCTGACCACACTTCCTAATAGAGCCAATCACTTGTTGATTGTCTGTAATTAGCAGCTGCTCCAGGATGCCCTGGGAGCCTGCTTCGGGCCCCTGAGAGGCAAAGGGCTTCACAGGAAGCAGGCAGCAGGGAAACCTACACTAAGAGTTTCAAAGGGATTGACAAGAAAGCCTCTTCAGGACAGACGGCTTGGGATTTGACATTTTTAGCAGCCATTACATAAAGGGAAAATGGCAT